AAGGGGGGGTTTCATTTAAAAAACCAGAGTTGGTAACTACCACACGTTTATGATGCACCCTGTATATTGGAAAGTAATTTTAGAATGTGGACCTTCGGAAAAACTTTCGTTGGACGAATTTTCTTGTAAACTTCATATTTACTGAGATATCGCACTTTGACGCACTAATGAGCAACCCTGTATATATATATATAAATAATCTTTATTTCGTACAGAAAAAGGCTATCGACCCAATCGGTCTTTCTGCCCTTGTTTAGTACATATGTCTTAGCCTAGCTTATTCTAAAATTAATTTCTATTCCTAACACTCGTATAAATTAATCAGCTATAAAAAAATAAAAATTCTTGGCTTACAAAACAAACATATCTTAGTTAGTTCAGTTGCGTTTGTAGGTGTTCTAGTAAAGTATCCATCGAAAATTATTTAAGCTTTCTTAGAGACAAAGAGGACACTCAGAGCCGCGTAAGCAGATTTTTCGTTAAAATCTGGCTGGATCTGGATTAATTTCAGTTTAAAGGACAATTTTCAAATTGAGCCATAGTTTGGAAATTCCTTCATGTGCAATCCAACCAAGAAAAATAAATTGAATGAATCTGTGCTAACTTTAAAAAAAATACGTACTAAAGCATGACAAGTGATGATCTACATGAGTATCATTTACACATTTTAATAATATACATAGGAATAAGTATTTTTTATTATCTATCGCTGCACCAAACGAAAGTCGAATTCTCTGAAAACGAAAAGTTAATAACGATAATTTTACTCCAGATTAGCGAAGACAAATATTTTTAAGCGTGTCCTATACTAATAATATTTTTAGTTTATAATTATATTTCTATTGCTAATATGGTTCTGATATTGATAAATGTGGCTTATCCTATAACCAGTTGGTCAGAGACTCCAGACAAACTTATTTGTGGGTTGACTGAACTTGAAGTAGGATTAAACACGATAGTAATTAGAGAGAAGAACGGAGAATCGGGGTTCGAACAAAACCAAATTAGCCCTGAAATTGTATAAACGCTGGCGAACTTTGTTTGCAACAGTGATTCTGTGGTCGAAAATGCCCATTGATAACGGTTACTTGGTTTCATTATTTGAGCGGTTGCAATGCGAGAATTTCGTTGTTTCGGAGCAAGTTTTGATGTTCATTGCTTTTGGTATAAATTCGGCCTAAATAGAGAAAATTTATAACATATGCTAAACCATTTGTTAATGTTATAATTAATACGTATTTTCATAATTTCAAAGTCTACATATAAACCTAATTTATTTCATCTGCCCACAGTTGCCTCATTTTAAAATATAGAAAAATGTTGCATTCACAAGCCTGTATTCCATTTTATCAAACGATTCATACGGTAATTGACAGGTTAATCACTATTTGGGTTTATCAACTGAGGAACAAAATTGAAAGGCATGATTTGATTAATGCAGTTGCTTACAAAAATATTTATTTGAAGTCACTGTGATCTCCATCAACGCGAATTCTAGATTTATAAGTACGTGATCATAGTTGCTGCAACCCGTTTAAATAGCAAATTTTCCATAACAAATGGATTGTTATTTAACTTTTCCTAAATTATTAATATCCATTTTAATTAAATCTTATTTTATTCCATTAATTTTACTCCCAGTTGGCCCACACGGACTCACAAATTTTCTGCTGTACTGCTGCTTAAAATCAAGACACGGTTCTTTTTACCAAGAAAAAAATATGTAAGATAATCGTAAGTTTCAAATTTGTACCTAATAATAAATTTTCATTTATATACGTTTAAATCAGTTTAATAAAAAAATATTTATTACACAGACCTTGTTGCACGGTACCTATAGGAATAAGAATTTTTTCCCCAGATTTGAAATGTTATTCGTATTTTTCTTAATCTTCAGCTTGTAAACCTTTGATTATTTTAACCCGTTTATCCAAATATGTCGTTTTTTTCTGCAATGACGATACAATATTGTTACTTGGCTTACAGTCTTCTTTCAATAAAATAAAAATTCTCAAAGTAATTTCCTAAAAAATACTTTGGAAAAATGAACAATCTATTAGCAAATAAAATTGGAAACTTTCAACGAACCTGCCTCAAAATAAATTACTATAAAGTTGTTCCTAAAATAAATTACTTAAATTCCAACGCATGTAGGAGTGATGAATAGTAGATGCAAGATATGTTTTCCCGCGCGTTTAACATTTGTAGACTTGCAGAGAAAATACAATTCATTTTCCAGATGATAAACAAAAATTGAAGACATATTAATAATTGCTTAATAAAAAATCTGAGATCTGTTTCTGAGAGTCCCAAAATGCAGACTTTCCTCCTTAATGCTGCACTGTAGGTACTAATTATAAACCTAACAATGACGAACTTAACAATAAAAATAATTTTAACAATAATAAGTTAAAACTTTTCTTTTTTTTTCTTTTTACCTAAGAGATTGATGTGAGGTCATGCCAAAATCGCTTAAATATGAATTTTACTTGCAGAAATTTATGCCACCCCAGATACAAATAATACGGAACAAAGGTAGAGTCATAAAATCCCTAAAAATGCCAAATATTAAAACACTGTGGTAGTAAAATTTAGTATCTGACATTTATGGCCCTTAAATTGCCCTGTATTTGGTCATAACTTTTTTTCTGAGCACGCATTCCCCGCTATAAATGGTATTCTATGGGGCAAAGTTTCGCATTTTGATGGTATTTCATTAAAATACTTTTTTTTATGTGGACGTTTAATTATTTCGCACTACGTAAATCTTCGAACGTTAGCAATATTATCAAAATGAATTATCGTTTATTTGTTAACGCTAAATTAAATGTAACGTAGAAGAAGAATTAGCGACGTGATATAACCGATTTATTTTAGAATTTAACAAACTATTTATAAAATAATAAGAATAGTATAAATAAGTCTAATCGAAGTGTCACATCAAAATTTACCTGACCCTCAATAAACTTACAATACACACATTAATATTTCAATCTATTAAGTAGTTCTAGCATGATTTCTACCAAAAATCATTACATTCTACATTACACCAAAAACGTTAAAGATGTAAAAAATTATTTAAAACAAAGGTGATAGATTAAAATGTATCTATTTTTAATTGATCAACCCCAATACACATCAGTTTTCAGAATATGTATAACATGTTTAACTTTAAAGAACTACAGTTACTGTAACAATAGATTAAAAACTCTAAAAAGTATATAAAAATAATGGAAAAAATGCATTTTCAAAGTTTAAACAATATTTAGCAACTGCCGCAGTCACATGCCAGTATACCGCCCACTTAAATTTAAATTTGCTTTAGAAGCGCTATTAATATGAAAAATTAAAATATTACCTATAATAGATATAATAAAAATATTTAGTTGAAAAATTAAATCAGACGAAACAACTCAACAATGTGAATCTAAATGGCAAGTATGTACAAAACATAGCGTGTCCATGACTATTTAAAAGAATATTTGCTCTGAAAAAGGTAATGTCGCATGAACAGTAAAAATCGAAAAAATACGACAAAGATTGAAAAGAGAATGTGACAATGCCATTTTGTACCTCAACAATTTGTTTCAGCGAAAAAACTTAACCAAATAAGTTGAAGTGTCGAAACAAGAACTTTTCTTTTCTTTCAAATCGTTTACTGTTCAATACAAAATTGGCTCAAGAAAACATAATTGAAATAATGAAAAATTGTCAAAAATATGAAAAAACAAATTATTCCATTGGGCAATTATTCCATAGGCATACCTACATATTTTGAAGTTAAAGAAAATATATTTATAAAACGATTTAACCGAAATGGCAATAAAAACTGCATCACTAAATGGTAATAACGTTAATAATTTTAAATTAGAAAAAAAGTCAAAATCGATATTACTGCACACACAACCAAAGGATAAACATATCAGAAAGTTAAACAACGAAATACTCAACTTTGAGATTTGTTCGCCAAAAATCATTCAATTTTAATTACTTACCATGTTTTCCTAGCCCAGAACTCTTCCAGATACTTTGAGATGCTGGTAGGAGGTGGACTTTAAAAAGAGCCAAATTATATCTTCTGAAATTTTTTTTTATATTTTGAAATGTTGCACACTGTAAAAATAATGAATTATTTCGCTTACCTGTAAAAACAGTCAATAAGAGCGTCTTTTAAAGCATCAAATTGAGTCCTTTATCCACCGAAACACGCACAAATTCACAGAACTTCACCTTTAATTTAACATATAGCCTAAATATCGCGATTGAATCTCCGGTAACAGTGGATGTTCCGCTCCTTTAAATTATTATAATTGGTTCATTTGCTGTTGAGAACTAATTTGCCCCGTTTGAGCATATACCTGTTACACTAATACTGGCAAATCCGTTTAGTATCAGATAAGGTTCAGATATGATAAATTAATAACGCTATTAAGGAAATCGATGTGTCTAATGTTCGACTGAAAATTACCATGCACGCGAGACATGTTTACGAAGGAGATTGCTACTAAAATCTATGTATTTTGCGACTCACAAAAAACCGACCAATTGTTTATATTATGAAAACAAGTTTGCCGTGGCGAACATAAACAAAACCAGTTAAATTAGTAAACACGACAGATTGAAGAGCAAAATTCTAGGTTCACATTGAAAAATTACTTCTCCACTACAATTTCCAACAATATTAAAAACAATTGGGGTATTCTACAAAATAATTCTTTCATTTCAAATGTGTTAAATCGTCTATATTAAATCGTGTTTGCGTGTCCGTATCGAACATATAAGACAGACTTGAATGCATGGTTTAATCAATCGAATATAATATAAATAAAACGTACATTTCAAACTTAAATTAATAAATAAATAACGGTTCAAATTTTGCGACTCATTTGATCAAGTACTCCTTCCTCTGCTGCTCGAGCATGTTCTCCAAATAAATACATTTCTCCTGCAAAGCTTTGTGTTCGATTTGCAGTTCGTTTAAAATTTCATCTTTTCTTGCTACGGACACTTTGATCCTAAAAGTGAATAACTTCTGAACTGAATTCGTAAAAGGAATGAACGAAATCGGATTCTGATATGAGCATATAAATGAGAGCACTTCTGACACAAGAATATCCGCTATATAAGAAGACATTTCTTCATCCAATTCGATTGAGAGCAAAAGTGGAATGGATTATTAAAATATTTCGATCGATTGTCCTTGCTATAAACCTATTTTGGTAATAATATTCCTGGGTTCCAGTAATCACAACAGTATTCGTAAAATACTTATTTGGATTTAACGATAAATTATTATCGAACACTATTTTACAAAATCATTAACCATTACGAATATTTAAAATCTCATTGGATGTAGGTGGTTGCACAATATGGTTACAAAAAAGTTGCAATTAAAATTAAATTGCAAAATTATGTTTAAAAATTGAAAGCGTGCAATTAAAAATAATATAATAAAAATAAAATAAAATATTTCTACTAGAAATAACGACAAAATAGTACGTGAAACACATTTGGCTGCAAATAAAATAATTGAATTACAACTCAATAGCACCACCAAAATTCAAAAATATCTTAATTTGGAGCTAATAAATTAAATCAACGAAAATGAAGCGATCTGCAAGAAAAAAATTTTAGAATTATTTATGAAGTTATAAATTCTGAAGAATAAAAATTGTGTTTACTTAATAAAACAATTAATTAAAATTTAACAATTTTTCCTGTTTTTCCCCACATTTGCAAGACTTATTTTAAAGGTTTGAGAAAACTTGAGACAACTTGGAATATTAATATGATTTGGTTAGACTTTAGCAAATTTATCAATCATAGTACCTAATTCACAAAACATGCACGCAAATAGTAAAAATTTGGAGAAATACTCAGAATTTATAAATGACGATAAGTAGAAAAAGAAGATAAAATAAAAAACAGCTGTGAAGGTAAGTTGAAGATACTTTTATTGGAATTTAATTCTTTTTTTTTTTCAATTTAAGTTTCTTTCTGTAGATAAAACTTTATTTCAAATTAACTGAACAATTAATTAGAAGAGGCTATCGGTCTTTATGCGACAAATATTTTAAACAAAAATGGTTTAACTGAGCAGGTTGAATTTTGATACGCCTTGACAACCAGTCGAATTGTATCTTCTGAAATAATTAACCAAAATATTGATAATTATTACAAAGATCTTACATCTGTTTACTGCCAACACTAATTTCAGATAAATTAAATATTTTACTAATTGATGGATATGGACCTCTGGATTCATTTCTTCTTATATGTTTACTTTCTTTTAATAGAGCATTTTTTTCTGGTAGAAGTTATCTTTCATATTCTTCACATTATAAAAAAATATCCTGGTGAGTGATGTTTCGTTGTATTTAAGTTACGTTGCTTTCTTGAAAAGCTAATCTGTTTTAGAAAACAACAAAATAACAAGTTTTATTTACGATATTAGAGATCTACGGAATGTGTATGAAAATCTAATTCAAAACGGATAATAATCAATGTAATAAAATTAAATTAATTTTAACCAACATCTAGCAAATTTTCAAGCTTAATCTAATAATAGTAAAGATGTAAAAACGAAAAAAGGAATTAAAAAATATGAATACACTATCCTTTAATCATATCCGTTCAATAATACCAACATTTTTATACACGGTGAGATAAAGATCAAAACTATGCCAATTTTTAAATTCTACCTATTAATTACATAATTAATTCCTTGAGCAGAGTGATTTTCCTTGTTTCTTATAATGATATGAAATATAATAATAATATCAAATATGTAGAATGTTGCAAGATATTGCTAATTATTATTGTGGATGATTAAAAAGAGATCAAAATTATTTTGTGACCTGAACATATTTCTGGTGTTCGGTAAGCAAACCGCAAGGGGAAGTTGCATAGGAAAAAATAATATTTACTTTAACCCAAAAAATGACTATAAGAGAATGGTTTCTTATTGTACGGTTTCGATAATTTCATTTGTAATTCCTACCTGGAATATAATTGTTGTATTTCTTTGTCCCTGTTATTCTTTAAATGGGCCACTTCTTTTTCCAAATTGTGAACTTCTTCATTCATTTCTTGTCGAAGTACCTCTTTTAGATCTGCCCGCTCTTTGGTCAGATTTTCGCTTAACTGAATTAAAACGTGTACTTACATTTAATATAAGGTTCATATTTTAAGAAGTTTACCTCTTTATATTGGGCAAGTTGCATTTCCAAGTGCTTCACGGTGGACTTGAGTCCAATGACAACTTCTTCACATTCAAGAAGTTTCGTTTTTGAGTCGATAAATTTAGCCTTAGACTCTTTCTCTGCGTTTTCAAGATCTTTGATTTCTTTCTCGTATTTCTCTCTTATTCGTCTGTAAAATAGAGTGCATAAAATATTAATTGACCAACACTCTTGTGATGTAGCAGTCACAAGTTATAGGATGATTTCGAGTTAAAATAAAAACTTAAAAAAGCGAAAAATTAAAAAACAAATAAATTTTACACATATAATATTTTCCAGCGCTTGTGAAATATTTTAGCAATAGTTTAACTATGCATCAGAAGAAACCCATTATCATTATCTGGTTCTTCTAACCCCATCTATTTCAAGACGAGCTTTTTCAGCAACACCTCTGGTGCCATATTTTAATTAAATACAATTTTTGAGTGAGAAAAAATGCTCAGGCCAAGCGATATAAACAATATTTAACTTAAACTCCGACAAACTTCTTTAGTGAAACTTTCGGGAACATTGGGTCATTAAATCGGAAAGTCCTCATCAATTAATACTGATTGCAGGAAATTAATTCATTAAGTTGAAATAATTGTTGTAACTGGCGAAATTTTATATATTCTAACTGACCAATATTTCAATCAAAGCTGTATCAATTCATAATTTAATTTTTTAATTACACGCTTAATGCACGTAATTTACAGTTGCAAATTCGCATTTTTTGCTCATCGCAAGCGATAAATTTTAATATTTTGCTTTTATTGGTTTCAGGAATAATTTAGGCGATATGCCGTTATTAATTAGTTTTTCCATTTAGAGATTATACTGTTTTTAATATTAAATAATTTTCGGTGAATTAATTAATTTGGCGTTGCGTTTTTTAAACATTTTTAAACACACAATGGATCCGTTTATTGTGGCAATTTATTAATAGGGATTAACATTATAAAAAATGCAATAATCACAGTATGTGAAGTCTTGCATGCATAATTTTACTGTGCTCTTATTATTATGGACGTATTCGCATAAATATTACCAGAATGAGTTTCTTGAGAACGACTAAATATAGAAAATAGTTTAATAGGAAAAGTTGTAGTAAAGTGGTGAGTTACTAAACTAAAGTAACTTAGGTAATAAATCTTACTTAATTCGATTTTCAGTACTCTGTTCGATTTGCGCTTTATTTTCAGAAGCCTCAGTCTCCAATCTATCAATAACGTTCTCAATCTCTTTATCCCTCTCCCTTCTACATTGATCTCGTATAGCGGCTTCTTTTTCAAAAATAATAGCGGCTTGTTGTTTTTTAAAATTGACTTGCCACGATTCGAACTCCAATTGAGAGGCTTCTTTCAATAATTTTATTTCATTTGATTGCCGTCGAATCAAAACCTACGCGGAAATATAATTTAATTCACTGTTTGTTGTGCACGTTTTATTGTCGTTTATGTAATTAAGTAACTGAAAGAAATTCAGTTTGAGTAAATTTTACTTGAATTCGATCTTCAAACTCTTCCTGGGCTTGTTTGATCGCTTTGTCTTTTTCAAACTGCACTTGAGATTCTCGTTCTTCACATTCTTTTATTCTGTTTGCATGGTCTGCTTGCAAGCGTCTTCTTTGCTCTTGGTATCCTTTTTCTTCGGACTCCACCAGCTTTTCATATCTGAAATAGTCATAATTCCACGCGATCTTGTGTGAATCGACCAAGTGGAAGCCTATTTACCTTTGCCTCACAACTTCCCTTTCATGGGATAAAGCTTTTTCTCTTTCTGCAACCAGTTGCTCCCTTAAAGTTTCACATTGGTTTTGTAATTTTCTTGCAGCTTTCAACTCCAAGTCCTCTATTTCTCTCTTATGGAGGGCTCTCAAGTCTGATAACTCTTGCTGTTGCCTTTTCTCCATATTCTGAATTTCTGGCTCAATACTTTTCACTGTTAGTTCCTAACAATTTCAACAAAAAAATACTGGAAATATTCGCTTTATTGATTGACTTACCTTAATTTTCTGAGTTTTTCCTTCAATCCATCGATCTCGTCTTATTTTCTCTCCGGCAGTATGCATTTCTTTCAGTTTCTTTATTTCCACTTGATGCTTATGCTCTAAGGCTTTACTGTTTGTGTTATATCGATCCTCTAGCATCTACGGATCATGATATTCACAAATTTTCTTCGACAATTTTTCAATTACTATTTAAAGTTGACACGAATCCTATTCTCAATTATTCTATTTTATCTTATCTACTTAAAATAGATGAAATAATCATAGGTTATTATCTATTGAACGATAAATCCAAACACCTAAACAAGGGTCTTTTACCAATAAGAAATAATAGTTTATTCTTATTCAATGAAATAAATGGAGGTTACTCAAGATTACGAAAAAACGTAAGAAAAATATTAGAAGATTGTTCAATTATTTTTTTAATAACACAGTCAATAAAATCAGAACTAACAGGATCACATTAATTTAATAAAGTTCAACTCAATAGTCTGAAAACAAGATTTCTTAACCTTGGAAACATTTAATGTTTTTTGAGAAAAATAGAGTAGATGAACCCCTTCAAAAAAACGAGTTCTAAAACTATAAATCACTGTTCAAATGCTTTTTAGAACTGTCATGTTTTTAGTGCTTAAATGGTCTTCCAAGTAGTAAAATAATTTTATGAGATATAAATTTAGGTTTTCCATAACCTGGGAAAGAATATACAAATTGTTATCAGCAAGGGAAAATCAATAGCGTTTTAACTTGTATTTGTAGCTTTCTAAAGTTTATACATATTTTCTCAACTTTAATAGTGACGTTTAGAATATATAATTAGAAAATAAATGTTCAAGACGCTTTTCAAAATTGGCATATTATTATTCAGTTAGATGTTCAAGATTATTAGTTTGGATCTTCGAGAATTCGTAGATTAGATGAAACATAAATAGAAAACTGAACGTCTGAATTATCTATTCTATTCAAATAGTTAAGGATTTTTCATGAGCATGAAATGTTGCTTTAATAAATTTAAAGACTAGAAATTTTAGTTGAGCCGAACTAGTCAGCAAAATTAATCAAGACGTCTTTAAAATGCAATTGCTATAACATAAATTGCAATAAATTACTACAATTACTATTAAAAATATACATTTTTGACTAATTCGTGTGAGGATTTTAATTCGGGTCGCATAACATCCAAGAGTCGAATGGCTAGATAAACACAAAAGTTTCGAAATCATTATTAATTAATTATGTTTTTCAGCTAATAAAACATTAAATAACTCACAGTACCTTCATTTCCTGAATCAGTCCTTCGCATTGCTGGTTAAGAGACCTTTTATCAGCAATCAGTTGATCAATGAACTTTTGATGTCTTTTAACGACACCTTCGTACTCTTCTTTTTGCTGCTTTAATTTTTGTTTCACCAGAGCTTCAGTTTGTTTATTCTGTTTCATCACTTGCTCCCGTAGCCCTGATAGTTCGTTTTGCAAAATTACTATTGAAGAACTTTTATCTTTTAAGCGAAGACTCATATCGACCAGTCGATGTGCCAGTTCTTGTTTACTCAGAACTTCCAAGTCATCCAAGCTAGACAAAAGCAAATTATTGAAGCATGGAATTTTATGCAAAAACTTACCGAGGAACGGAGTCCAGATTAATTGAAGACTCAGCAATATTTGAAGCAAGCAGCGCACTTTGCTTAGATTCGTTTAGTGATTTCGAACTTTTCCTGTCCATTTCATCCAAAAATGATAGGAGTTCACTGGAAACATTCAAATTTTATCAAAAAACACATTCACAGCACAGATGGTTACTTACTTATAGTTATTGTTTCCGTTATTGCAGACAAATTTAGATCCTCTAAACTCAAAATTAAATTCGTTGTCAAACTTATTATTTGCGTCTTTGATATCTTTTATCAATATATTTTCACTGCTGAAATTGCTCTCTGGTGTGTCTGTATTCTCATGGGATTCATAGTTTCTTTGCGATACCACAGGAGAGAATGTTACACAACGTTCACTAATCTCTTTAGGCTTTGGTTCTTCAACATTGGCTATGTCGCAGGTAAAAGCGTTTGTTTTGCCATTTCTATTACTTTCAGAGCATTGATTTTCTTCAATCGCATACTGGTTTAAAGTATGGTCTACCAAGTTTTTAACTGAAGCAATCTTCATGTCTACAATTTTTATATTGCGCTAAAATTATGGAGTTCATTTTCATAAAACTTACGTGACTTTTTGTCCTCATTTTCTAGTTCTTCTAAGATTGAGACAATGTCATCTAAACTTCCCGCAGCACTTATTTTATCATCAGCTTCAACTCGGTTTGCTTTCTCATTAAATTCCCCTTTACTCATGTCTTCTATTTCACTTAGATTGTTCAAAAACTGCAGGTAATTAGCTTTCTTGGCCTCCCCTGAGCCCCTGGAACTTTGGTTCATCCAAGTCTCAATATCTGGTGACGTTCTTGTATCGCCTGTAAAGTCTGCTCCTCCTTTCACTGGCTTTGCCACAAATTTTGTCTTATTTTCCGGTTTTCTTGGTTTTGATGTTATTTTCTTATGGCTCTCGCACTTAACGGTATTGAGAATGTTTTTACCTTTAGTATTGTTCTTGAGAGTTTTGGAAAACTTTGGCCCACAACTGCTAGCGTGTTTCGCACCATTCGTATCATCATCCCGCTTTTGTAGGTCAAATTCAAAAAACTTTTCGAATTTTTTGTCGGTTTCATCACGGAAAAGCTCATTTATGTCAATATCAGATATATTAGGAAATTCGTTGGCTTTCGACCATTTATCTACCATTTTTGTGTTATCTGTAAAGTTGGTATTAGCCAGGTCATGTTCACAGTTGAGCTCGTCCCGATATTTTTTGGTCTGCGTTTCCGACTCCTTTACTTCTTCCCTTGTCCACTTTTGGTTATTTTCACTTTCATTGTCCTTTGAATTGCTCAGACCCTCTTCATACAAGTGTGGGTCAAATTTGGTTGAATTTCGACCCGAAGTGTCCTCATTTCTTCTTGATGCTGGGCAAGCATTGGCGGCTTTCTGGTTTAAATTTGCGTCAAACAGTGGGTTTGGGTTCGAATCAGAATTATTGCTTGTATTTTCTTTTTTTAAGAGAGCGTCATATTTTATATCAAAATAAGCATTAATAGCATCGCGGTTTTTATCAGAAACATCGCATTCTCGTGAATTGGTGTCAATGACTCCAATTGGTTCGCTTTCCAGAAGCTTCTTAGGCAATGGAGGTTTTGAGGTCAAACCTGGGCGCAGTTCTAGATCAATCGGACCTTTATCAAACGATCCTTTAATGATGATTCAATAAATTAGTTCATTGTGTTCTCCGAATCGAGATTTACGTACCACTTTTATCTTTAGAGTAGGCAGCTTCTTCTGAAGACAGTGAGGTACTTTCTTCGAGAGTGTTGTCTTTACTGTGTACCGGAAAGTCAGAGCTGCTTTCACTGTTTCCTCTGAAGTTGCTTGGTGGGTATGTTTTCCAGGAGCTGACTTGCTCAGATAGGAGATTCTTGTATAAGTTCGAAGATGGTAGTACTTCGTCTGTAGGTTTGGTAACAAAACTTGCAGTGCTTAATAAATCAAATATTAACTACCATACCTTCAAAACTTTCTAAGCTACTATTTATATATTCTTTAGAAAATCGTTCGTCCTTATTAGTTAGATATCCAGCTGAAAATGGGCGGTGACTGTTTTTTGCGACTTCATCGTCCTAGATAACAAAGCAGGCTTGTTACTGAAGTACATCTGATTTGGAAACTATATGGTTTTCTCTGCTATCTTAACCAATTTTTGTTTACTCAAATTCAGTTAACACAGAAAAAAATCGAGTCTAAGCGTTACTTGAAATGTTAAAAAGATCCGCTCGATACAGTATATTCAAGATGTCCTGCCTTAATGGACTGCAAATCGGAAGAAATTGGATTCAATTAAATGGAAATAAATTACATAAATTGTAATAAAATGTATACTGTAAATAAAATATGAATTAGCACTTACCCATGATTTTGCAATATGAATATTTTTAAATTACCTCATTTAATTTAGCCGGTATCAAAAAACCAAAACAACGCATGCAAATTTGCTGTTTATTAATTTGGAGGTCGTTTAAAAGGGTGCAATTTTTGAGCATATCAGATATTTGTTAAAAAGTAAATTTAAGTAGCGGATTTTTTTAAAAACAACAAAAAACTTAAAACAACAAAACTATATTAGCTGATTTCCATACATAGCGGGTTTTAAAAGTTCCACGACTGACAAGATTACCTTGAACGAAAATTATTAAATAAAAAAAAACAAATTTCGCCATTGTTGAGAGTTGAAAGTCATTGAGAGTTATTCATATAAGCTAAACATTCATATAGCTAATAACTAAGTAAAAGTTTCCTTTTGTAACCGGACTTAATTAAATTAAATTAAAAAATTAAATGAGACTTAACTAAAAAAATGTGTTCCTTAAAAATACATTTTAAATATTATAAGTCATGAGTACTTGGAAAGTATTAATACCCAGAAGAAGATTAACTAATTATTTCTGAAATTTCCAAAAAAATGTTCTGAACAGATATTTAAAAAAAGTAGTGTATATAGAGAGGAGTCAAAATTAATAATTTTGAGAACAACAAATTTATGAGTAGATACCTTTCTGTCACTAATAAAATATAAAAAAGTTTAGTGTAAGTAAAGTAAAGGGGACAGAGGTGAGGTCTGTGGACGGTCCTTTATGAAATACATTTAGTTTACTAATTTTACTATTAAAGTAAACAAATGCCATTGATGTTGAAAAGCCTACTTTTTTATTTATTATTTTTATCAAATATTTATTGAATAACTAATCGTCTTGATCGTATATCTATAGAAAACCACTCTTCTACGGCGTATTTTTAATGCTGCTTTAAGTAATGTTTTTTCCATAATTCCAAATTAATTTGGACGAAGAATGGATGGGGAGCGCATCATCATTACAACAAATTTAGATAATTGCATGTGTTTCTATGAATTTGATAAAGTACAAACTTAGTTAAAGCATTGCATAAAACTTCAGACTATATCAATAAATAAATAAAACGAGACAAAATATTTTCTGATTTGAGTGATATCAGAATCTGAAAACATGCAAATGGTTTAGAGTCCAAACTTGAAAACAGGGGTAGGTAAATAAAAACAAAGCAGCACAACATAATTTTGGGAAATTCAGAAACTAAAATATTTTTTATCTCTTTACTCCATCACAACTCCAACCCTTTCTTAATATATCGCCCGACATTGCATCAATAAAAACACTTTTTTACAAACTTCTTCTTGGGTATTTCGCCTCAAAAAAGACATCATTTCCTCACGTCTTTTATTACAGATCGATAAATAGTGCTCTTATTTCGCAATAAGAACGAATTATTTAACAAAAAGTAATCAAGAACTAAAGACAAAAAACTAACTTTAAAGACAACATTTTTTGAGGCGAAATACCCAACAAACAATTTAAAAAAAATTAATCCGCCTCAACAATATAGAAAATAAAAACACTACTATACTTATGCTTTATGCAGTGAATTAAAGGTATATGAAATAAAACTACTTACTTTGTCATGAAAATTAAGCATTGGCAGTGCAGAGGCAGGTCTTGAGAAGCATTTAGCGATATAAGCATTGTTTTTCGCGCTTGCTGTGCTCAACTTATTGGAAGGTCTTCGTTCTAAATTAATCTGAAATTGTTGGAATTAATTATTGATGGGAGCTATTTCGTGGCTTAATTTTCCTAAATAGTTATTCAAAAATATATTAATATCGAAAATTATGTTGCTTCATTCTACTAAATTCAACAAATTTACTAAAAAAATTCGTATGAACCTTAGGTTCACTTCAGGACTTGTTTAATATATAATTTTTCCAATTGCTGTTTGAAACTATGAATTAAATACATGGGCATTTAACTTGAAGTTTTATGCAATTTGAATCAGAAAGGCTTGTAGTTACTCAACAGGATGTTACAAATATGCTTGAAAAAAAATCAGAAAATATTAGACAAGCTTCTGAAAAAATGTAAAAAAAAATCTCTAATATATCGTGTTTAATGTGTGATAAGCTAAAAAGAGCCATCGTTTTCTGGGTTGGCAAATCCAGCTATAAAGCAGCTGTAAATATAATCCAGCTGTAGTTTAGGCAAATTATGGCAAAATTCAGGATAGATTAAAATAAAACTTGGAATAAAATTAACACGCTTCAACAAAAATATAGAAAATATTAAAAACAATTCATAAAATAATAATCTCTAAGAAAAAATCGATTAAAGTACGAAAAATTTAATTTAAATTTGTCAAAAAAAGTCAAATTGATATAAATAAAAAAACGATTAAATGATCAAACTATACAGCCTAATAAATGGATCGCTAACTGAAGCGAAATGCTTCTTCAGCGGACATTTTAATAAACAAAAACGACAAAAAAATTTTTTTTATTAATAGATAAATAGAAAATGATAAAATACTTTTACTGTCAAAGCAAGACAAAATAATTTAACAATGGTTTAGACAGTAGAAAAATTAACTACATTTGTTCCATCAGTCGACACTCCACATCTAAAATATGATCAATTAATTTTAAAAAAGTGGATAAAATAGTTAACAATAACGCTTCATTTTTTCTCGTTTTCGATTTATTTATTGGTTAATGAAATTAGTTTTGTCTTAGTTGTTTTTCAAAAGGTCTGCTAAAGAAGCATTTCGTATGAGTTACCGATCCATTTACTAGACTACTTATTTGGTTTGATCACATTTTTGTCATATCAATTTGACTTTTAAGTTTAATTTTAATTCTAATCATCAACACTCCTGTGATTAGATTTTCTCAGTGTGTACACACCCGCTTCCTTCCTTCCTTAATTTTAGTTGTTTTCACTTTAATGGATTTTTCGTGGAGCTGATTATTTTATGAATTGTTTTTATTATAGGTAGGTTTATATTTAAGGGTATGTTAATTTTCTTCCAAGTTTTATTTTAATCCATTCTTTTTGAATTTTGCCATAATTTGATGTTTGAACATCAATTTCCAATAAAATATTTTTTATTGGAAATATTTGTTTATTTATTTGGTTTGTATTTAGGTTTTCGACAAATATTATGCTATTGAATATTTTCCGCCTACAGGTTAATACAATGTTTATTTAGTGATCTGCTTTCATGCCATCACAAGCATTTTAAAACTGTTATGTTGGTTAATTTGTGCATTTTAAAAGTAATATTCTGTTGGATTCAAGCTTTCCAAAAATGTATTTAGTTCAGATTACCGTTTTATCTTGCTTTGACAAAAATTGCAAATAATGTATTCCTTGCACACAATATGTTCTAATAAAAAAAGATACATGAAAAATTATCAATTTAACAAATATCTTAAAGGAAGTAGAAACAGTTTAGATAAGGTTGATAAAAGGACTGGAAAAATTGTTGAAGTTGTCATCATATTTTCTGAAATTCCATAAGTTCGATGACTTTAATGTGCATCAACATGCTGAAGTGAATTTAAAATGCTTAAATAATTTCAACGGTGTTCAGAAAGGTTGGGGATAAATTATTGCAAATTTGCTTTAAGACCCAAAAACCTAAATTAAAAAAGGTCTAGGATAAAGTTTAAAATATCTGTAACAGGGTTAGTAAGAGTAATAAAATAAAACTACAAATATACAAGTGCCAAATATATTTATATGTACATATATTCGAAATTAAAAAGTGTATATTAATACACATAAAAAGTACTAAACAATTAAAATACCTTATCTCCTGTAAGTTTCAACTCGCGCCCATTTTCCTTATAATTCGACATAATTGCCTGTTATGGGTAACAATATGGACAGATTGAACTATTATAAAGTAACGCGTATATTGTTCCCTAATAAAGGTATAGAAAGCACTAAAATCGGGTAAAAAATGATTCAATAGAAGGTCAAAGACACATCAAACTGATTTGCGAAGTGTTTGTTGTGATTGTTCATAGTTCTATGGGCTCGTTTCTAGGCAACCCCAGTAAATATAGGGGTGGTTTGAAGTGGTCTCATTTATTTACGTTATATTGGCATGGTTTCATGGAAATAATCATGGGAATCAAAAACATTATATGCGCTTGTATTTTACCTGGAATATACAGGGTGTTCGAGGAATCGAGAAAAGTATGGTGGCGAGTAAAATTTAATAAACGGGCACACTATAGAACAGGTGAAAACCTTCCCTTAAGTTTACTAAAAATTTTAGTTGAAATAAAAATATGACCAAAAATACTAAATGAAAAATGTGATGTCATGCGTAAATTATCAACAAACATAGACCAAACGATACCAGTAAGTAATAACACTAAATAAAATGAGTTAATTATTTCGATAAACATAGTCAAAAATTAATTGTGAAAACTTCTCAATAGTTTCCCAGAATAATTCTAGCAGACATTTAACCGTTTTTTTTTAATTGATTATACACTTTTAGTTTCTAAATTAGGATTTACATTATTTTACCAAAAACAAAATCATTTTGATTTAATTCAGATTTTCTAATTTTAAAATTTAAATATTCACATATGTTTCTGCACTAAAAAAATTAACTGACAAACAATACATTCAGGTGTTCAATATTTACTATGTGTAATGTTTTAAGCTCATCCAAAAACGTAATGAAAGTTTCGCTTTACACATAATGTAAGTTTAATGCAAAGTAATTGATCGAAAAATTAATCATTACAGTTCTGCAGTTTTTTTAAAAAAGCTAGTTTAATAGTAGTAATACAAAAACATATATACAACAAAATAAATACATACAAAAAAATAATACTGTAAATTGTTATGTTTGGTGCTGGTGATATTGTGTAACAAAAACCGCCATTTCATCAAGGCAACAAACTACCACACGTTTGTACAATTTTAAAATTCATAAATCTTTCGATTAATCTCTGCAAGACATCTGGGTTTGGTTGCGTAAATCGCATGATACATCATCTGAAAGAATACGGCTGATTTCCATATTTTCATTCAAATGTCCATGCATGCAAAACACCTATTTGTAAATTGGCAGCAAATTGAAAGCACACTTTTACGAGTATGGCTGTTTACAAATTCCATATAGAACAAGCCAATGAAATGTGTGAGCAAGAATATCAGGCATTCATTTCTTCATAAAGTGATAGGAAAATATACATAATATAATTATGAATATATATAAATAATAATATATAATTAATATTAACATAACAAGGGCGTCAAAGACAAAATTGTAAATAATTACATTTTTACACAAACATAACTAGCACCCTCTTAGTCTTTTGGCATTTAAATTACTATAACACGCTGTGAAAAAACTGTTGCAAACAGAAACGTTTCCCCACTTATCTCACAAAATGCGCACTTTTCAGTAATAAAATAAGAGTTATAAAGTTTTGCTTCATGAATCCACCTTCAGATAAAACTTAAAACGCAAAATGAAAAAATAGTGTTATTAAATTTCACTTTTAATTACGCTTTTGATAATGTTAACATGGACGATGTTTTTACAGTTGCTTTCTATTCTGAAATTAAACGAGATTCACTTTCTTACATTACTATTATTACGCCCATACGGCTAAGTGCACTAAAAAACGATTCGAAAAAAAATAGTTAAGACTTATGACTAACAACAAAACGTTTGAAAATGAGCTCAGAGAAGAATGAAAAGATGACAAAGAACTATCTAAAAGAGGAGCAAATTAGAGTGACAACAAATTATTACTTATCGTTTATAACAATTCAAAAATAGTAAACGTTTATATTTCCAAAGGGAACAGTGTTCTCATAAAGGTTTATCGGTTTAAGGGTATCCTGCGACACACCTCTAGGTGATAGTTCTTGATTACTCTTTGATAAATAATTCGTTCTTATTGTGATATATGAGCATTGTTTATCAATCTGTAATAAACGGCGCCAAAATTCTGTCTGTTTTAAAGACAAAAATTTTTGAGGCGAAATACCCAATAAACTGTGAAAAAATGAATCCGCCTCGACAATATAGAACTTATCTAGATCTGAGTTCTTAGGACACTCCACAATTTAAGAAACAGGCGTTTTTATGTGTTGGAAACTAGAATTGATTAATCTTCACTATGAATTTTCGCCTGTAACAGACGTCCTTCTTACCTCATCTCTGAAAGAAAAATTATCGGTCCATCGAGTTCATTGTCAATTACAGAAAAAACACTTTTTAAGAAACATGTTCGGAAAGTCTATAAGACAAACACTTTCTTAGCCGCATTTCAGCAATCCAATCAAGGATTAATCGCAAGTAATTCATTACCTGTCGCCAACAAATCCACGTTTTCCCTCAATATCTTCATTTCAATTACATAAACGCGTATGTTAAGTGAATTTACCAGCATTGGCTAAAAAGTCCCGATAGCTTGCCCTGCTTTCCCTTAATTTAACTCGAATAAAAAAATAGTTTAAGCCTAATAATCACACTTTTTTATCATCGGTATGAGAATTTGAGCGCAGTAGCATTGCATAGGCTGATCATTACGAATTCTTGCAAACCTCGGATTTTACACGTGGGGGATTATACACAATACTACATACCTCATCTTTATAAATGATTTGTCCTTGTCGATACTCCCTTTAAGAACATTTAAAATTCTGTCGAAATCCTAGTGCATCTTCAGTATTTAAACTCGGAACATTGTTCATTGTACTAGTCAGTTATTTCGAAGATGTACACTGAGTACATACGTTGATATCTTGCTGTAATTTCTCTTTCAAAATTAGTTAAATTTGTATGTGTTATTTGGCCTAAAGTTTCTAAACGTATTATTGAAAGAAGGTAAGAGTTAATAAATAGCCCCTGTTTAGTAGGTAACATTTAAGCAATATCTCTACTTTCATGTGATTCAAATTATTAAAGTAGAACCTACAACGGTTTAAATATTCTATTTCAATATTAATTAAAATGTTGATCTATTTAGGTACTTCGTCACTATTGTAATAATAAAGAGAATGTTAAAATGTGATTTCTTAATATTATCTGATTTTGTTCTAATTGAAGCTTCTGCTGCAAAATATTTGAAGTTGAAAATAGGAACGCAATCTCAAACTACTTAGACTCTGAAGTCTTGAAAAAACTGTATGGCATTACTAACAAACTATTACCTATACAAAAGAGTAAAATACGTAAGAAATATCTGAATAGTTTAATAAGATAAAAGGTATTTATTTTTTTAAACTAGGAGTAATTTCTTTTATTTATGGTCAACAAATGAACAAACCAAAGATAATTAAAAAATTAACCGTTTTTGGCAAAAATAATTACTTTTACAGCACTAGAAATTAAAGTTTCTTAATCATTTATAAATGTATTATTATTTTTCTATTAATAGAAAAGTTGGAAAAAATCATTATGAATTACCATGTATTTACATATGTATAGAGGTTGATATACATAGTGTACAGGGTTGGCAAATTTCGATATTATAACTGAGAATCTCGATAACTAAACGAACTTCGAAAAAATGAACCCCCATCCTCATCTTTTTTTTGTGCTAAACTCGCAAAGCAAAAACTCGATTCCGTCTATTTTCCATAAATGACGATAGCTGGATTATTTACTGAATTACATGAAAATTACTTTCACATTATATTTTTTAGTAGAACTAGACGTTTTCAATATATTTTAAATTTATCATCAATAATTTTTAGGTTTTAAAACAAACCTATGTGTTTTTTTGCCCTAGATACTTTTTTTTCGGCTTGAACGATGTTATATACGATATGTGCGGTCAGTCCTAAAGCTTCATCTTATATTTTATCATTTAACTATCGAGATTCCCATTTAAACTATCGAAAACTCCCCACCTGGTACCCTACAAATTTTACTCATCGTCGATTTGACATAGATATTTTACAATACATTTATTAACTTTACAGATGCAAGACGGTAAAAATTTAAACAATCTACAACAAAGGTTTAGTTCTTGTTCAGCAGCTAACTATTTAGCAGAGTTGTCGATATCCTTCAAAATTGTGATATGAAATATCTAACAAGTGTGTGTCCGCTTGTAATATTCTAAATAATATAAAAAGAAATGAAAGTTTGTTTACTGAAATCAGCATTTGTTATGCAGTTTTTAGTTTTGCAATTAGAATCCATATTCTTCAGATTGTGATAATTGTTTTGTTTCCTTTAATATTGCAATAAATTAATACTGAACGCATTTACAATTAAGAATGTATTAAGTATTATCGAAATTTGTAGTAAATTTGGCAAATTCAAACAACTAGATTAAACAAACCTTAACGCAGTTTAAATTATAGTTGAGCAGATAGATGGTTATCGGGAAAATCGTTAAGTTACGTTTTCCTACGTTATAATATTTTAACAAGTTAATTTTCTAGGAGAAATATTGCAATGGCAGTTAATATCCTTGATATAACTTTCGCAATATTGGTCGGATTGACTATTTGGAATTTAACTCAAGCTGCTCCGCAATTTCCACAGCGAGGTTTCCAGTCGCAAAAAGATGATGAATCGCCACAACCGGTAAACGTTTTTACTTGCTCCAAGCATCATATTGTACTTTTGGGAGAGTATTTAATAGAATGCTTTCATTGTAATTAATCACTTCAAGTTTTTGCTGTATTATAAGGCTACACTAACTTTTTACTAAACGCATACACTTAATACTTCGACGCTTTCAATCAGAAATCACCAATTTTTTTGGAAAAAATCGCGAAAGCAGAATAACCGATTTTCCCATTTCAGCTAATACATAAAATAAAATAAGCAAATAATAAAATAAATAACTTACATCCGTTTGTTTTTCAGTACGATTTTCAATATAAAATCGACAACCCAGCATCACGAACGATCTTTGGCCAATCCGAAGCAGGAGATAGCCAGGGAAAAGTAATCGGCAGCTATTACGTTCTTCTTCCGGATGGTAGACTGATGAATGTAGAATATTCCGTAGATGGTGAATCGGGATTTGTACCTAAAATCACATTCACCCCTCAAAATGCCCCAGGAACACCAGTACCACCTCGAATCGGATGAAGCAAACATTAATAAATATGCGTACTTACCAAAATTTTCTTAGCTTTAAAAATGTATAGAGTATTAATCAAAAATTAAACGTTGCTCTGTTGTAAATTACTTTTGTAGTCCAATATCAAACACATAAATACCTTGGAGTTTTATCCAATAAGGGGATAGTCGGAGGTAGGAAGGCAAATTAAACCCAAAATCAATGTAACAATGCTTTATTCAAGTTTTTAAAAATAGTAACTGGAAAATTATTCTTCATTCCAAGAGTTGAGAGTCCAACTAAATTGAGTAAGGCTTTATTTAATTCACTTGATAAATGAGATATAAAATAAACAAAAAAGTTTTCCTATGAAATAACCGTTAGTTAATCATGCACAAAATCGGGCGTTAAAAACTGTTAAGACCTGCTATAGTAATTTGTCATAAAACCTACAAGTCTAAAAAAATATCTTATCAAACTTTCTTTACTATTTGCACAACATCTTCATCAGCGAGTATATGTTCCAGTCCAACTTTCTGGGGCTGATGCTTAACAGATGAACCCCATACAAGAGCACTAAAATGAAAAAAGATCAATTTGGTGCATGCATGCATAGAGGTGAATTTAATGTTCACGAAATACCCCCCGAGAAATAAAACATTGACAACGAGAAATGTATTAAAATAAGAACAATTCTTAAAGGAAAAATTTAACTGTTTTTCAAATTGTTGCAAATTAAATAAACAGCAAAAGAGCTAGATTCATAAAGCTATAATACTTACTATTTAAATTCTTTAGCAATACTTCTGTGCAATTTATTGCAAAAGTCTTCAACTGAAATGTGATCTAAATGCAACACAATGGGAGAGTTGTAATCAGGCAGTTGGCCTTTTGGCTTCGTGTATCTAAAAAGCAACAAATCCAAACAAATTAAACAATTTATTTTTTAAATATTTCAAAAATTACTTCAACTGTAATACTGTAATTACTTACATTCTTACTAGTTTGAGGTATTCCCACATTTTTTCCAATAAATCGTCAAAGTTCCATTTGTGATGAGCAGAAATCGGTACACAATGAGGTATCTTATAAATTACGTCTAGTTCTTCAATGCTAATTTGATCTAAAAATGTTTATACTTTAATAAGAGTACTTTGATATGATTTTTAAATGCAGTACCTATTTTGTTTAAAATATAAATACAAGGAACATAAATGCGATTTCCCTCAATAACGTCAATTAAATCATCACTGGTAGCATCATATTTCAAAGTAACATCAGCGTTATGAATTTTATACTCTGACAAGATAGTCTTTACAGTATCTGCATCTAATTCCGATTGAGTCACCTACAAATATAAATAAAACTGACCCGATCTCAATTATCTTGAACTTCGCAAAAAAATGACCTTTTTAAAAACGCACAATAGCTTACCATGCAATTCAAGTTTATTCCACCTTTATCTTTCTTTTTGAAATAAATATTTGGTGGCTGTTTGTTGAGACGTAAGCCGAATCCCTCCAATTCATGTTCAATCAATTTCTTATGAACTAGAGGCTTAAGAACGTCCAAGCAAAGAAATATCAAACTACAAGTTCTGGCAACTGCTATTACTTGTCTACCACGACCTTTCCCATCTTTAGCTCCCTCAATAATTCCGGGCAAATCCAACAACTAGAAAAGTATTACCGCCTTGATAACGAGTCAATTTTGTTTCACATATCAAACTAATCAGGACCCGAATAAAAATATGTGACCGTAGATGAGGGATTGTTAATTATGAAATACCTGTATTTTCGCCCCTTTATACTTAATGCAACCCGGCACAGTTGTAAGGGTTGTAAATTCATATGCCGCTACTTCAGAATACACCCCTGCCAAATTACTAAGAAGGGTAGACTTTCCTACAGACGGAAACCCAACGAATCCAACTCTAGCGTCTCCAGTTTTTGCAACATCGAAACCTGGAAAAATGTGATTAGTAAACCGTTTTAAAATGACTGCAGGCCGCATGCAAACAAAAAATTTTCACAATTGGAACCAAAGTAAAAAAGCTCCGGTTTGTACATTGATTCACATAAGTGAAATCTACTGCAATATCTGGAATAGTTATGAGATTACATGTCTTGAGTATGAACTGGTTAAGAATGATAAAAAGGTTGAATTTGCTTCGCAACCTTTCGAGAAGGGATCGGCAACATAATTGTATAAACCATGGACTTTAAGCAAAGTTTCTCAATTCAAATTGATCGAACATATAATGCTGTTAGGAACATAGAAATGAACTCAGGTTTGTAAATTAAATGTTTATATATCTAAGATTGACTTTATT